AGCACTGTCCTTAGTGAGTTGTGTCATTATACTTGCAGAAACAGCCAGTGAGTGTTTAGCAAAAGGGTATTCCTTGAGAACCCTGCTTCAGAACACCACTGCATTTGGACAAGCCCTCGTTGTCCAGAAGGTTAAAACACCTGTGGGGGAATGGTCTGACATGGGATTTCAGTAAAGGACAGAGTGAGAAATTTATTGGGAGAGGTAAAGTTGGCATGGCCGTGTGTTGAAGAGGACAGAAGCTGGTGCCAAGTGCCTGGGGGAGGGGCTCACTATTTGCTCTACTTTTTGAAACAAATTTCAGTTTGTTCATGAGAAGTTTAAAATTCAGTGGATGCAGTAGCTCTTCTTGGAACCCCAGAAAGTTTTCTCAATCATTTACTAATCATGCAATTTGTTAATGAGTATCTATTCACAGTCTACTCTGTGCAGATACTGCTGCAGTCCCCTGTGCTCAAGAGGAGTCTGCCCCACTGGCAAAGGCAGACAGCAAACCACGGGGGCTGTCAAGCCCACATTTTGCCCCCAGGATAAAATCCTAGCCCTTGAATTCCTGCCAGAGTCCTGCATCCTCCCTAGTCTGCCGCTCTCTGTCTTGTGCTCTGTGTCAAGTCCACTGTCTTTCTTGTATTTCTTGAACAGCCTGTACATACCTGGAGTCTTCCACTTGCCGTTTCTGCGGATGGAAATGTTCTTTCCTCACACCTTCTTGTGACTTACTCCCACATTTGTCAACTGTGACGCCTTGGAGAGTCCTCCTCTGACTCCACCCCCAAGACAGGCTCTCTCCCCTGCTCTGCCTTCTAGCTCCTCCTCAATTTCTGCCTTCCATGGTGTACTGTTTGCTATCTGTGGACTCTCTCCACCATGTCTCAGAAGGGAGGGGCTGCCAGCAGCCAGATGTACCCAGTTCCCACTGGGTTCTCCAGGGAAACTCGCAGGAAGCAAATTTTCAGACCACAGAGGGACAGCAATCTAGGTTTCCACTGATGTCCACTCTTGGCTGCTAGTTGCTGCCATTTCAGATAGCAGGCCACAGTCCTCTGATTTGGTCTGCCTTTGTTCCCTCTCCTATAGGTGGTGGATTCCCAGCTGGTGTGCATGATGAATGAGAACAGCATTGATTACATATCTCGGTTCAATGACCTGGCCCAAGAGCTGTCCATCACTGATCCTGGCCGCCGAGAGGTTCTGTTCGACAGTGGTGGAGGCGGCCCCCCTGTTGGTGACCTCTCCCAGTGACCACACCATATGGCAACGGAATCCTGAAGCCACAGAGGAGGGCTTACTGGGCTGGCTTTGCTCATTTGTGGCAGACAAAACCCTCTTCAAACTACAGAGAAAGCAAGTCAAGTCCAGAATCTCTAGAAGATAGTCACAGGGGCACATCTGTACCCTAGGATGTGCATCATGCGGGAACAGCTGGTCACAGGCCTATCCCAACAAACGGAAGCTTCGACATCCCGGGAGGCTAGAACCAACCCTGAGAATGGTTGATATCAGAGACTGCTGTGGTGTGGGAATGGTTCCTTGCCTTCCTGAGGCCCATGCTAGTCTGAGTGGGGATATCCTGTACTGTGCCTCCACTGTGGTGCTGGGCAGTCCAGAGCTTGCATTTCAGAAGGGTTGTGTGTTGGTATGGTTATTGTGTGTTGGGAGATTGCTGCTGCAAACTCTGATGCTCCTTCACCCCACTTGGCTCCTCTGTGATAGTGTTGAAGGGGACTGTTGGCACAGCTCAGGCTCTTGCTTGGTGGTGTCTGCACCCCAAGACTGATGACAGGGCAGGGTGGGGGTTGTCCCAGGACAGCATATCCAGTGCCATCTCCCCAGAACACTGACCCTTTCCTTCTGCTTCCCCTGTCCGGAGGGTTTGTTCTGACTGGTGTAATAGGAAGGGGGAAAGGAATCATGTCTTAACGCAGGTTTTGTGTACGTTTTGTAGGACTTTGTTAAGCTGGTTGAAAATGTTTTTCTTGTGTTTTAAGAATTAGGAGACACAGACAAGAAAGAACAGAGTCCTTTGTGTAGCTGGTTTCCTCCTCGTGTCCCCCTGCAAGTTCCTTCCAGGTGATCTGAGATGTCCTTTACCTTTACAGGACTGATACCCCAGGCACTAACATGACTGCAGGCCAGACTTCACTAATGGGTCTTGGAGCTTCTCCTGAGGTTCTGTTAGGCACCTGAGGCCAATCTGCCTAGCAGGGAGGACATCCTGTTTGTTCTTCAGAGGCTCCTCCTCTTCTTGCTGACATTGTCACAGGATGTCCCCCATATATTAAGTCCCTTGGCATGCCTTTGCACTGAGGCCCCAAGTTTCTTCTTCCTAATTAAGGGGACCTGAGCAGGATTTGGATTTATCTAAGAGCTCACCACCCTTTGATCTTCTGGTGACTCCCTCCTGGATCCACACAGAGGCTAGTGGGTATTTCTGGAGGTAGCCTAGCATCTGTTCTTTCCCTAGGATGGAGCTAACAAGGCTCCTCTGCCTTCTCAGCTTCAGGAAATACAAGCTTATAAACCACCCTTCAGCCATATGTGGTGTGGCATGGTGCTGGGCAAGTGAGGCCTATGCTGCCCTCACTTGGTTACCCTTCACCCAGCAGCCCTTTCTGACCCACCTCCTTCCATCTCTGCTCCTGACTCTCCTTTTCCCCAACTTGTCCAGTGGCCATCTAGGCCAGCCCTGACCCCCATTGGTCTCTCCCCATCTGTAGTAAAAAAGGGAGCCAATGTGCGGAGGGGAAGGAAAGACCTTTGGTGTGGACATCCTCCATCCTGTGGTCTCACCAGCTGCTGCAGTGGTACTGGACTGCAGGCACCAGTGGAAGACACAGAGGGACATCCTCCCCCTTCTCTTCCCAGGTTCCTCCTGGCACTGGTGCCTGTGAAGAGGCCTCTTGCCTTCAGGGCCTGACAGAGCCTGTGCTGTGGTCCCTGCTCTGTGAGTTGAGAAGGGGAATGTGGTGTTTGGTCAACGGTGTTTGAACACTTGGTTGCATGTGGTGTTCCTTGTGTCTTCTTCCTGAATTCAGCACCTTGCTGAGCTGAGATCAGTATGTCTCTCTGGGTCTGTACTACAGGTGAGGACCGGAGGCTGTGCCTGATCCGACACTGGAGGTGGTAGAATCCATTAAGCATTGTGTTAGCAGCATGCTGGCCAACCCTTCCCTAACTGCTTCCCCTGTAGAGTACCTTGAGACACCACACCCTTTGTCCTACCTGTAAAAGGAGCAGAACTATGGAGATTAGGATCCACTTCTGTAGGCTTTTGGTGTAGCAGCACTACCCAATTGTGTAGACTGCATTTGGGAGCCCTGAATACAGCACTTGTCACCCAGTGGCAGGCAGGTTAGGGGGTGGAGTGGACTAACTGTCCTTTCTGAAATGAAGCTGATGGGATTCCAGAGAATTCTGCAGCTTGGCTAGCATTTGCTTACTGGGTTRAGGGGGAATTGTCATTCATAGCAGAGAAAGTGGAGGCCTTTTCTCCCATCCCAAACATTTATGTTAGGCAGCTGCTAAAAGACTAGCAGAGAAGCCTTCTAGACCCTGCATCTTCCAATGGAGTAGTGGTAGACCAGTATCTAAGATCAGTTTCTTAGAAAAATCTTTCCCTGATCCTGCTGATGCCTGGGAACTTCGTGCTGCTCTGTCTTTTCTAAAGATGAAGAGAAAGTACCTCTGCTATCAAGGAAGTTGGTGTTTGGTCTCATTCTTTACTGTGACTATAGAATAATGAGCTTTCTGCCCTTGAGAAGATGCTTGAAGCTTGTAATTCTTTCTATACCTTGTAGGGGTTAGGGTGCTTGCACAGGGAGTGGGGATCTTTGGGACCTTTCTTCAGGCTGTAGATCTGCTTCCTGTACCTGCAGGTTCTTAGCATGGGACTCCTGGAGTTTTGTCTGTTTTTTCATTCTTACGGTGACCTCACTGTCAGTGGAGGTCCTTTTTAGTTTGAAGATCACACATTTGAGTCCAAACTTGCTCTACAAGACACTGGAAAAACAAGTGAGGAGGGGAATAGTTATATCTGCTTCTTGAACACTAAGGTCTGTTACATGTATCTGTGAGGAAATACAGCAGTTTGTCTTATGGGGGAAAAACGGAAAGGTGAAACAAAAAAATAAACCCACAGTACACTTTCCCAGCTGTCCAGCTCGCCACATCTCCCAGTAACTTGTCATGTGAGGTCATTCAGGTCTTGGAAGCACTGGGCCAGCCCACCCACCCACCCCTGTGTTACCGTCATAGGGAATCACTGGCTGCAGCACGTGGCCTGGGGCGCACAATCAGTGCTGTTTGCTTTAATAATTGTTAAGCCATATCATCCAAGGTTTCTGGCTTGTTTGAGATGTGAATTTGTTTTATAGATTATAAATATACAGTGTATGTATAAAGCAGAATGCCTGTCCTTCCTGGTTATTTTTTGTACTATATTGTAAATTATATTATTTATTCTTTACCAATTTTGGGAATAAAAGGTGTTTTGGTTATTTAATATAATAAAAACTGTTAAACTCCTGTTTAAATTTCCGGTTCAACTTGTAAATGTTTTTATTGTGCATAAATACATACTAATACTTGATCTAACCATTGTCTTCTGAGCCTGTTTTTAATGAGTGCTCTAGGATGGGACGGGGCACAGCACCTGGGGAAGTGGGAGGACAGGTGCGGCCCGGGCAGAGCCACGGCTTCCTCACGAGGGCGCTACCGCGCGCCCAAGCGCTTCCAGTTGCTACTGAGCCGAAACCACCTCGCCCCGCCCTAACCCGCCAGGGCGGAGAGGAGGGGCTCCGGGGCGGTCGCCCAGCGGACCCTACCCGCGTGATAGAGGGCGGGCCAGACCGCGGACCAATGCGGGCCAGCGGTGCCTGCAGCGGCCAATCGTCTATGGGCGCGACGCCGGCGTGGGGGTAAGGGGTGGGGCTCGGGCCTCGATAGGCTGCGAGGCTATGATTGGCGTGGGCGGCAGCCAACGGGCGCTGGCGGGCCTGGGTACCTGCGCTGGGCAGGCGGGAACCACGACGCGGTGCTGAGAGGCGCGGGGCGGCGGCCGACATGTTCCAGGGCGCGGACGCCGAGGCCGGCCGGCTTGGGTCCAGGTGCGCGGGTGCGGCCGGGTGGGCGCGGAGCCGCGGCCACGTGGCGGGCAACCTTACAGATAACGCGCTGCGGCCGGGCAGAGGTTGGGCAGCGAGCCCCGGAGCCCCGCGGGCTCTGTCCGGCCTTCCCGCGCCGGAGCCTCCTGTGCCGCGAGCCGGGCGCGGTTCTCGGGCCGGAGCCTCACCTACGGGTTTGGCGAACGGAGCCGTGGTTCTGGTGTCTGGTAATGCGACCCTACCGAGCAAGGGGCACCCAGCGGGGGAACCACCGCCCCGCCCCCCTCTGGGGGCACCCAGCAGGGGTCGCCCACCCCACCTCCGGCTGAAGATTCCCCTGTATCCTACCCCTGTCAGGGCTACTACGGAAAAAAAGGATAAGAGGGCACACGCCGTCGCATCCCTCCAGGAAGTGCCCTGTCCGAGCTGCCTGGCAGTGCCGCCCAGAAAGCGGTGGCCGAGGGGTGAGGCTGTCCGGGCCAGGCTGCCGGTGGGAGCGGGAGCTAGGAGGTCGGGCGCGGTGGCCTGGAGCGCGGGCGGAGAAGAGCAGCCAAGTTCAGTGGCCGAGCCCCGCGGGTACCCCGTGGCGTGACAGCCCGGCCTGAAGGGAGTCAGCTTCCCTCGCAGCACCGCGCAGGCTGCGTTTTCTCGGCGAGGGCTTCTCATGCGGAAGGGGTTTGGACTGGGAAAGCATCTGCTTTAGCCACCATTTACCCCAAGTCTTAACGGTCGACTTGACGATGCTGAAGGATTTCGTCCAAGTCTGCTTCTCACGCCTTCTACGGAGCCCCACCAGTTCCCAGAAGTTCTTCCGACACTGGGTACTCTTAGGGAAGGTCGGGGGCATGGAGACCCTCCAGATGAGAGTGGCTTTTGTCTTTCCCTCTCCAGCGCCACAGTCCACCTGAGAAAAGAAAAGTCTGTGGGCTTTTCTTGCCATGTGCCCCTTTGTCTTCTGTGTATTGAATGTTTTTGTCAAAATATACGGGTGGGTTACTCCAGAAGGAAAGGATAAGAGGGCACACGCTTCTGCATTGTGACTTTTTTCCTAAGCCCTTCTTAGTACTCCCCTCCCCCCTTCATGTCACTGTGATAACTGCTGCTTGTCCCTTCCAGAGGACCACACTGGGCCATTGTTGTGCCCCACCCCAACCCCCCCCCTTTTTAAAAGCCTATCTTTGAACTCTGGTATGGTTTGGTGAGATGTCCTGGGGCACCTTTGCTGCTTGTTTGGCTGTTGTAGGCTGCTAAACCTGGGTGCTGCCTCTTGCCTTAGTGATGGAGGTGGCCCCTGCCCTTCCCAAGATCCTCTGCATCCTAATCACTGCCAAGATAACCTATGCTGCTGGAACCACTTAATTCTCTAGGCTAGTTTTCAAATAAAATAAAATTCAGGAAAAGTACACAAAACAAGATTAAGTCCTAAAAAAAAAAAAAAAAAAAAAAAGATTAAGTCCTGTAATTCCACCACCTCCATATTAACATTTCCTTTAACTTCCACATACTCCTGTGCCCCTACCATACACTCTGAGCCCCACCTGTTCCAGAGACAGCTTTGGAGTTCCAAGAGCACCTGATAAACTCTGTCATATCACTCACAGGAAACACTGAAACCACCCATATGTGGATCTGCATTTTCCCTTAAACCTGAAGCTCCAGGCAGAGTGCTTTTCTTTATTCATCTTTTTGTCTGCAGGGTTGCCAGTGGTAGGAACTCGGGAGATGTGCGAGAGACTGAGATTTGAGAGACATCTCCGTCTTGACTGTTGAGTGTGAGAGTCCACAGGAGTCCTGATCACATGTGTCAGCTTGTGGTGCAGGACTTCGAGGGTTTGGAAGACCACTGTCTGTGAAATAAGCCAGTAAATTAGGATTTGTAACTCATGCTGGCATGAACCTTGATGCTGAATTCAGTTCAGTTCAGGATCACAGTATCTTGTTTCATCAGAGATGACTGGAGACCATGTTAGGCCTGCTTCAACTAGCAAAGAAAAATATGGAGAATGACCAGGGCTATGTGATTTAAAAATGGAAGTCAGATGCCTCACCTTGTCCACCAACAACCTGCTTTACCTAAGATTCGTTAAACTATAACTTAAGCCTGGTTATTGGTTAGTTTGAAAAATTATTTTTCACACGAAACTGATTTTTTTCCCCCTTCATTGGATCCTTTAGGAAGCGCTAACTACTGAACAGATAGGATTGGCACATCTACAATGCAGAGAGAGAGCACTGTTCAGAGGCCTGCCAGTGTGCCAGGGGTCTCAGTTCAGGCTGTGGCTCTCTGTAGGGCACACTTTCTGCTCTCCTGTCTCACAGCAGCAACACTGTTCATATAAGATCATAGTGGTGACTGGTTCCCTTTCCACCTCTTTTTGGAGGAAACAAAAACATTTAAAATGCTGTTTTTGTTAAACCTTGAGCGTTTAGTGTTTGCATAGTTTTGCAGTGARGCCTAACCTCAGCCTTAGCTATTAGTTGGTGCTTGATCCTCTAAATCCAAGTATTTCAAAATGTCCTGGGTCAAACTGTACCATTGCTTAAGACCTGGTGAAAGGGAATGGATCACTCAACTGGTTTAAAACTTAACAAGGCCCGTCCCCTGAAATGTGAAAAGACACATATGTTTCTCTGTGCTGCTCTTGTAGACCTGCTCTTGGGTGTCAGCACAGAGCTTTATGGTAATTTGTTAGCTCTGCAATTGATTTAATAAAAGGTGACTCACAGCTAGGCACAGTAGCTCACACCTGTAATCCCATGGTTTTTTTTTTTTTTTTTTGGAAACTGAAGCTAGGAGCTCTCCTGGATTCAATCCTGAGTACCATCTCCCCAAACATTTTTTAATTATTATTATTATTTAATACTTTTTGTAAAAAAAAAAATTCTTTTTACCACATTAGAGATTGGACCGAGGGGCACTCTCCCACCGAGCTACATTCTCAGCTGTATTTATTCTTTATTTTGAGACAGGTCTCACCTTGAACTTGCAATCCTCCTGCTTCTGCATCCTGAGTTAGTGGGATTGTAGGGTTGTGCCCTTGTACCCCACTTAATAGGTTTTAATCAACCTAATATATGTAAAATATTCTTTTCACAGTGTGAAAGCATAAAAGATATTGTTAAAGAGATGTTTTGTTCTCTTCTTCATCCTATCTTTGACTCTGCTGGGTAGCTTACCCTTAGAGAGTCTCAGTCCTCAGTCCCTTGTGGCCAGGGCTTCCTGCTAGTGCACACAAGGTCCTGCCTTGGGGATCAGGCTTGATCTATGGGTAAATGTTGAGTGTCCCACCAGTCTTCTAGAAACCTTTAATCTTTTTCCTTTGCTTCCTTTTTTTTTTTTTTTTTTTTTTTGCAGTACTAGGAATAGAACCCTGGGCCTTGCACATGGTAGGCAAGCAATGTACCACTAGACTACATCCCCAACCATTTTTATTTTTTATTTAGATGCCAGATCTTGCCAACTCCCTAGTCTTGTTTATGCCTGTTCAGTTTGCAGGCTGGCCTTGAACTTTCAGTTCTCCTGCCTTAGCCTCTTAAGTAGCTGGGATTATAATCATGGGTCACTGCACCCAGCAGGAAAGCTTTTAAAGAACTTGAAGGGTCTTAGAAGAAGTTTGCTATGTGGCAAACTTTTTGTACTGTTTGTACAACATTTAAGTAATTGTGTGGCCTCCACAGACATTGAGGCATGCTTCTGCCCTGTCTAGTTGTGCCCTAGCCCTGCCTGTGACAAGTATACTTGGCAGCCCACAGTCGAATATTCAAGTTTGCTTTCTGCTTGCAGGGCCATGAAGCCCCCAGGAGGAGAATCCAGCAATCTTTTTGGAAGTCCGGAAGAAGCTGTTCCTTCAAGCAGGCCTAATAGGATGGCGTCAAATATTTTTGGACCAACAGAAGAACCTCAGAATGTACCCAAAAGGACAAACCCCCCAGGTGTGGGCCTTTGTAAATCCCAGATGGGTTGGCCTCTACCTAGTCACTCTTCTGTTCTTTTAAAAATGTTGTTGTTCTTTATATTGATCCTTTCAGATATTTTCTGGTATAGGTTATCCCTTGTCTTTAGAGGTGGTGTGGAAGCACTGAGGGTACAAAGGTAAGCGGTGGGCCTCTGGTTTCTGGACCCCATTGAGATCGTGAGATTGCATGCTAATGATTGTGTATTCAGATATAGTTCTTAGGGAGGGAGAGTATTAATCTGACTTCATTCAGTAGATTGAAACTCTGGACAGGGAGAGTTGGTCTAGCATGCACTGAGACGGTTCTTCAGAATTTAACACATTGGCTAGTGGCTACAGAAGGAAAAAATATTTGAACAGGTTTCCCCTGTCCTGTTGAGTAACCACACAGTGACAGTTACCTAATAGTTTTCCCATGTCTGTATCTGTGAGGGGACAGCAAGGTTTGTTCCATCTTTCAGAGACTTTAGAGGCTATCCCTAGGGGTATGTGTTAGAGTCAGCTCTAACTGCTCCCTACCTTGTGCCAGTTCTGGATATAAATAAATCTTGACCAAATGTAGATGCAGCAGATTTAAAAACTAGTTTTTTTGTTCATTTGGTTGTTGGGGATGGGTGCTGATATTGCTTCTAAATGTAGCTGTAGCCAGTGGTTCTTAATAACTGACTAATATTCTCTTGCACCCAATTCTAAATTTTGGGCCAGGAGTGGTCAGCTCTACATACCTTTGTGCTGGTGATAGCAGAATGGTACTTGTGTGCAAAACAGAAACAAATCCCAACCAGGAGTGGTGGCATACACCTGTAATCTCAGCTGCTCAGGAGGCTGAGGCAGGCAGATCAAAAGTTCAAGGCCAATCTCTGTAATTTAGCAAGGTCCTAAGCAACTTATACCCTGTCTCAAAAAAAAAAAAAAATGCAAAAAGGGCCAGGGACGTGGTTCAGTGGTTAAGCACCCCTGGGTTTAATTCCTAGTATTAAAAAAAAGAAAAGAAAAAAAAAAGCACCAAATTTGTGTCTGGAGTTGTCTCTAGACTTGTCCTTGTAACACATCAGGTTCTCTGAAAGGTGTGCCTGCTGTGACTCTTTGCACATCCTATAGGACCTTGTGTCCCCAGGTGCTCTTGTGTCCTTGGGGAGCCTAAGCCCCTTGGCTAGGAATAGCTGTTTACCTCTGGTGTAGTGACAGCCGTTTTGACTGCCTTTACCAGGTTTTTGCATCTTGTAGTTTTGGAGTTGGTTGTTTTGTTTTTTGCATCCTTCCAAGTACTCTTTGGAAAGAGAGCGTGAAGCCTGTGAGGCAGAACCAGTAGTTGTGTCCACCTCAGAGGCCAAGTTCCTGCTCTCATTGCTGTGCTCAGCCACCCAGGCTCAGTGCTATAGCACTCCATTTAGAGGGCCTGACTTGGGAGAGTGTTCAGAGGCACTTGCTCCACCCATGTGGGCAGCTTACCTCTGACAGCTGAGGAAGGCTTGCAGGAGATGACCTTCAGTGTCCCATTTCACCCTCACTGTAGTCTCCCTGTTCAGGCCTCCTGAGCATTCCTGTTTGCCCATATGGCAAGTGCATACCTATTTCTGCCAAGGCAGTGTTTTTTGGGTTTGTTTGTTTCCTTGTTCGTTTGGACAGCAGAAACGAACCCAGAGGCACTCAACCACTGAGCCACATTCCCAGTCCTTTTCATTTTTTAGCAGGGACAGGGTCTCATTAAGTTGCTGAGGCTGGATTTGAACTCAGATCCTCCTGCCTCAGCCCCAGTTGCTGGGATTGAATTTATTTTTTTTCTTTTTTTAAGACAGGAGATTGAAACTGGTGCTTAATCATTAAACTACAGCCCTTTGTGCCCCCCCCCACCTCCCCCCCCTTTTTTTTTTTTTTTGAGACAGGGTCTTGCTAAATTGTTAAGGCTGGTCTTGAACTTGTGGTCCTCTTATCTCAGTTTCTCAAGTCATTGGGATGACTGGTGTGTGCCAACTGTTCATTAGTTTTGAGTGAACTCAGGCATCTTTTCTTTAAGTCTGAATTCATCTTTTAAGGAAAAGGTGGAATGATAGCTATATGGCATAATTACTTTAAAGTTCAGAAACAACTTTTGTTCAGGATTATGCATGTATGTTGTGAAAATATGTAAGTAAAATAACAAGTCTGGTTTCCAGAAAATTCAGGGAGTGGGATAATCTTGGATGAGCAGGAAAGGGCACAGAGAGAGTTCATGAACAGTGTCTTTGACCAAAAATTTTTAGTTTACAAAAAGAAACCTGAATATATGTTTTAAAAAATTAGGTAAGCCTTTGTGGACAACCAGAATATGACACAATAAGGGTGGTCCCTCCCTGTTGCAGGCCAGCCACGTTTGCTAGAATGGCCAGTGGCATCACTAAAGGTTTCCCCAGCAGGCTGTGCTGCACCGCCATTTTACCTTAGCAGCTGGTGAGTCTCACCAGCAACCCTAGGGATGCTGTAAGTTGAGAAGGTGAAGTTGTTTGTATGAGGTCACACAGGTAATGAGTGAGTGAGCAGGGACTAGGACCCAAGCAGCCTGGCTAGGATGCCAGTCCCTCATGCCATGCAGTGCTGGTTTCCTCTTTCAAAGGTGTTCAGTGTGGGGCTGGATCCCTGGGAGGTTCATGGTTGAGATTGGGAGGTTTATAGTCCCCTAAAGTTAAAAGTTAGGGCATGGTGCATGTTTTCCTGCAGAAAGTTTCACATGTTCCAAGGTCTTTTGTCCCTTCCAGAAGACAGCATCCCTGGCCTGTGTCCAACCTGCTCAGTGCTGTTACAGCCTCATGGGAGCTACAGGCCATGGCCTATAGACTGATACCTCCCAGAGGCTGCTCTGTTAGCAGTGTGATAGCTAACAAGAGCAGACCCCAGTTGAGTCCCTTCCCCAAGACCATGGCTCCTTGTGTAGTTGGGTCATGAGGTGCTCATCCTGTGGCAACATGGTTATCACAGCTAAAAAATAACCTTAAAATGTAATTTTTTGAAGCCTGAAAACAGAAAAGGTGAGACCCTGTCTCAAAAACTTAAAAGGGCTGGGATGTAGTTCAGTCGTAGAGCACCYCTGGGTTCAGTTCCTAGTACCTTAAAAATAAATAAGGAGTTACTTTTCTTATGCCACTGCACCCTCTCTGTCCCATTTCTTATCTGGCCCTTGTAGGTAAGCAAGTGGTGAGAGGCAGGAGTGAAGTAGTCATTTTTCTTATTCAATTGTAAGTGAATAAGACTACCCCTCTTACATTAAGATGTTGGCACTGCATGGATTGTTTTGTACCTTTACTCACAGAACAGTATGTCCAGGAGGTGTTTCTTTACTGTTAGGCAGAAAACTCAGCTTTTATTTATTTTATTATTTATTAGGTGTTTTTATCCTAGGCATGGTTCTTAGCCTTTGACCTAGGAGCTACAGCCACTAACTGAGTGCTCATACACCTCTGAGAGAATGGTCCTTTTATTGTCCTCATTCTGAAGATGAGGGTTTAGGGTCATAGAAAAACCAAGTAACTTTCACACATCAACACAGCTATTGATGGTGTGCATCTTTGTGTATACCATAACTTGGTGCACCAGGGCAGTGACTTTGATGATAGCTGGTCCATTCAGCACAGTGCTTTGGGGAAGGGGTCTGCTGGTATCATACAGCATCCATGTTCCTCCCTGATATGGGCATTGAGGCCTTCTTGGGGCATATCCAGGCCACAGCCATCAGCTCCTAAGAAGTTCCATCTGCCTATATTTTGTTAGAGCTTATCAGCTCACTCACAGTTGGCAGCAAGGGCACTGCAAATCCCTTAATTTGCTGACATGTGTAGTCATTGCTTGACATTCCAGCCAGAATGAGGTCAGAATGACTAATAAAAGTTATTTTCCAGATACCAGGTTTGCCTTGAGTAGGGCATGTTACTAACTTCAGAACTCTCTGCAAGCAAAACACTTAGCTGTTTCATTCTTTTTTTTTTTTTTTTCTTTTTTAGTTTTCAATGGACCTTTATTTTATTTATTGACACGTGGTGGTGAGAATCAAACCCAGTGCCTCACACATGCTCAGCGCTCTGCCATTGAGCCACAGCTCCAGCCTTAGCTGTTTGCTTTTTAATTCACTGGAGAACTTTTCCTGAGTTTAATGAGGGACAGTTCAGTGGGAAAGCATTAACTACTGAGGGTTAGGGAACTCTGCAGGAAAATGTATGGTTTATTCCTTTTCCCTTCCAGAGGCTGGGTTGGGTCTAGACATGAAGGCCAAGTAGACCTCTGGTAAAAGTTGTTTGGATGTCCCACCCCATTTCCTGGTACCCAGGACTGCCACAAGGCTGTTTGTGAGAAGGTCTCTGAAGTGATGACCCTGGGCATGTGTGGTGTTCACTGTCCTGTGATTGTTTCTGCAGGAGGGAAAGGAAGTGGTATCTTTGATGAATCGACTCCTGTGCAGACCCGACAACGTCTGAACCCACCAGGTGGGAAGACCAGTGACATTTTTGGGTCCCCAGTCACTGCCACTTCACCCCTGGCACACCCAAACAAACCCAAGGTATGGACTACATTCAGACAGCAGACATGAGAAAAAAACAAAAGTTGAGCCAAGGACTCTTAAAAAGCTGCAGATGTGCCATGTTATTAGGGAGACAAGGTAGACATCATTGATTTTGCTGTGGTCATTTGTTATTGGGTTGGGGAGCTCCCTAGTTACCCAGGATGATGACTGACCCCTGGGGAAAGTGGTTTCTTGGTGTGTCAATAGTACAGATATTGCTAGAGGCAGCCACACTGGCCTTTACCACATACCTGAGGGATAGCAGCTGAGCACCTGGTGCAAAAACTCGCCCCTCAAGGGTCTTTCATGATTCTTCATTCTGTAGAAGAAAGGTGGTGGCTCTTGATGGTATTTCTTTCCGCACACAAGGTCCAAGGCCTCATGCTTGTTATCTTAGTGGATTTGTGGTGCTTGGCACCTCTGATCCTGCAATGGCACCGGATCAGGTAACTACCTGTAATCCAGCAAAGGGTCAAGTAACCAGGGTCTCCTTACCTGCAGTGCCATCTCAGAGGCTTGCTGAGATATGTGACCCTGGATGTGAACTTCCTGGGCTGAGGCTGAGGTAGAGGCTTGAAGAAGAGCCAGCACAGCCCTCACCTGAATGTTTGTTCAAGGCATGACAGGACATTTTGGGAGTTTACTTTGGCCAGAACTCACTAACAATAAAAYCTATAATTTTATTGTTACTTAATTATTAGCATTATATTTAAAATTTTTCATCTTTTTTTGTGGCCAAAAGATAGGGTCCAGTTCTCTAAAACAAAAAGCATACACATTTCTGGAGCTACTTGTGCATGGACCATCACTGCATTTTTGTCAGTTCACATCTCAGATGATGGCCCACTGCCATTGAATGGAAATGGAGATGTGAAAAAAGACCCAAGGCAAGGAGAAAATGAGAGTAGATGAGAGGGCTTCACGGAGACGAGCCAGGTTGGATCACCCCATGTCTCCTGTGATGGCCTGTCTGAAGCAACAGTCTCTTTCAGGTTGGAGTCTCAGGAGCCAGGCATGCGCCCCACTGAATATGAGATTGTGAGGCTCATGTCAAAGACAGTATCTCTTTGGGATGTACCCGTGGAACTGCTGCACCTTGGCTAATCCAGAAATGCCCTAAAGGTCAGCAGTTCTCCACCAACGAGAATTTTAATTAGCTGAACATAAGAGGAGGAAGCTTGGATTCACAGGTTCCCAGGAAAGAATAATATGAGCTTGTACACCTGAGCATAGAATAAAGAGAGTCAGAAAACAACTTACCCTGGGTTTATTAAACCTAAAGGTTTTTTGACCCAGGAGCATCAGACATCCCCAGCCTCACTGGAAAAATGGCCAGTTCCAGGCTCAGGACAGAGAGCGTAGGAGATGCTCCTGGAACATTGTGCAGTGCCATAAAACCATCGCAGTGTTAAACTGGCATCAAAAGGATCAGAAACCATTGTGAAGAGTAGTCTTGGGCCACAGAGGCTTGGGCCTCATTGGTCCTCAATTAGTACAGTAATCACAATGGATTAAAATTCACCAACTATTTAGAATTCAGAGGTTAAAAAAAATCTTTAGAGACCTTTGGAGAATGCCAGAAAACCAACTCATGAAATCTGGTGAAGAACAAAGATGGTGTGAATAACCAGCTTTTCCTGCATGAAAGATAACAGCTGTTGAAGGAAAGTTCCATTTTATAGAAGTACTAAAGGAGCCAAGCATAGTGACCTTACCTGTAATCCCATCTTCTTAAGGCTGAGGCCAGCCTGGGCAACTGAGTGGGGCTTGTGTCAACATTTAGAAAGGACTCCCAAGTTATAAATGAGAAGGGGTAATAATACTGCCATGTTGCCAGTGTGGGATGAACTCAACACACCCACACAGTGGTCATCAGTGGCTGTGACAGCACAAAAGAGAAACAGCCAAGAGTTATGACCTCAAATGTGGAAGTCCAAGGTGGTCCACCTCAAGTTCAGTTTGTCAATATAAAACCCAAAGTGAAACAAAACCACATTTTTAAATAATGATGCCACATATATGCACTCAGAACAGTATAACGCGTAAGAAAATACATGACAAATGATGGAGATTCTCAAGATGAAAAAGAGAAAGGGCCAGGCACAGTGGCTCACACATGTAATCCCAGCTACACAGGAGGTTGTGGCAGGAGAGTCACAAGATTGAGGCCAGCCCAGGCAACTTAGTAAAGAAAGGGCTGTGAGGCTGAAGCTCAGTAGTAGGAGTGCTTGTGCTTGTGGGTTCTATCCTTGGTATAGCAAAAAACAATAAAGCTTAAGAAGGGCTAGATGCAGCCCAGTGGCAGAGCACTTGCCTAGCATATGCAAGGCCTGGGTTTGACCCCCCAGCACCACCCAAAACAAAACCAGAATACCAAATGAGAAAGAGACTTGGAAAAGCAGTCCCTTTCAAAGTCCAAATAGATTTTGTAGAAATGGAAAAAAAAACTATTCAAACATTCACTTGGAAGATAAAACATGGAAGCCCACATCCCAGTTTCAAGTCTCACTTATGGCAACAGTAACTAAAACAGCACAATGGCAATTTTGTGGGTTTTTGTTTGTTTGTTTGTTTGTTTCTACAAGAGTACCAAGATCATTCAATAGGAAAGTAACAAAGTCTCTCAACAAATGATATTAGGAATTTGGGTATGCACACACAAAAAGATAAAATTAGACTTACCTTAACACCATGGGGGGGAAAAAAACTCCAATTCATAAAAATCAGAAAATATAGTGACTAATCTTTGTGGTCCTGCACTTGACAGTGCTTCTTAAATATGACACAAACAATAGACAATAATATAAATTGGACTTCATTAAAATTAAAAACTTGGTGTGCATCCCAAGGACCCTACCCAAAAACTGGAAAGACAACCCACAGGATGGAAAAAAAAAAAAAAACCTTGCAAATCACATACCTAATAAGGATTTACTGTCTGGAATATGTAATGAGGTCTTAGGACTTAATGACAAAAAGACAAACTAATTCAAAATGAGCAATGGATTTGAATAGGCATTTCTACAGAGAAGATATATAAATGATAATCACATAAATGGGTACACAACTTCAGTGGTCATTAGGGAAATTCAAATAAGAAACTACCACCTCAGTCCTTGTGGGACACCTAGAAAACATTGAGTTAGAACCTCGAATGTTGCTAGCGAGGATGTGAAGTCATTCGGCAGTTGTGGAAGTTGGTTTGGCATTTCCTCAGAAAGTTAAGCTTGAACCACTGTATGAATCAGCAATTCCATGAAGATTTGGAAAACAGGAGCTGGTTGTGGTGGTACCACCTTGGATCCCAGCTACTCAGGTGGAGGAGGCAGGGCTCTAAGTTCTCAACCAGCAGACCCTGTCTCAAAAATAAAAAGGGCTGTGGTGCGGCTCTGTGGCAGAGCACCCTGGTTCCATCTCTAGTATCAAAAAGAAAACATTTTTCCTTGGAAAACTGGGAATGGAACCACCATTTGACCCAGCTATTCCTCTTCTCGGACTATACTCAAAAGACCTAAAAACTGCATACTACAGGGACATAGCCACATCAATGTGTACAGCAGCACAATTCACAATAGGTAGACTGTGGAGCCAACCTAGATGCCCTTCAATGGGTGAATGGATTAAAAAAATGTGCCATTTATAAACAATGGAATATTACTCAGCACTAAAAAAACAAGATCATGGCATTTGCAGGGAAATGGATGGCATTAGAGCAGATTATGCTAAGTGAAATTAGCCAATCCCCCCCAAAAAAAAATGCCGAATGCCTTCTCTGATATAAGGGAGGTGACTCAAAATGGGGTAGGGAGGAAGAGCATGAGAAGAAAATTACCTCTAGATAGGGAAGAGAGGTGGGAGGGAGAATGGGAATTGCATGGAAGAGGGAAGGAGACCCCCTTCGTTATAGAGAATACAGGTATGACAATGAGAGGGGGGAAAAAAAGTGGGTCACATTAGATTGGGTAGAGAGAAGGGGGGAATGGAAGGACAGCAGAATAAAACCGACATTATTATTGCTGTGGGTATATACGTGACTGCATGACTAATATAATTCTGCAACCTGTACACTCGGAAAAATGAGAAATTATATCCCATCTGATTCAAATGTATGATATGTCAAGATCATTGTTCTGTCATGTGTAACTAATTAAAACAAATTTTTAAAAAATATGAAACTTAAAAAAAAAATTGAAAACAGGGATTCAGGAGCTGGGATTGTGCCTCAGAGGGAGAGCACTCACCTAGCAGGCATGAGGCACTGGGTTCAATCCTCGGCACCACATAAAAACAAAAATATGTGTCCACCTATAACTAAAAAATAAATATTTAAAAAAGAAAACAGATTCAGGCTGATACTAGGGCACATTTTCATAGCATAATAGCTGCAGGTAGAAACGGCCCACATGTCTATCAGCAGAGCAGTGGGTTCAAAGTGTAGTCCAGCTACAGTCGCTTACTGCTGTTGTCAGACTACAGTTCTGACATGTTGTAGTGTGGACAAGCCTTGAAAGCATTGGTGTTTTAAAATTTGATATTGAAGAAATAGTTTTTGCAGTTTTGAGCCCATTATGATTATTTTTTTAGGGCTACATCTTGAAAATTTTACAGACAAATGAAATATCTGGGGCTTGCTCCAGAGGAGAGACAGGCAGGGATGGAAGCTGGGGTGTGGTGTGCTTATTCTCGAATGGCTGCAAGTCTGCATTGCAGTAGTACAGCAGGTCCTGCAGGCTCATTCTGTCATCTTACTTTTTGGTAGTACTAGGGATTGAACCTAGGGGTTCCTCCGTGCTAGGCAAGTGCTTGATCCTTGAGCCGCATCCCCAGCAGCTTTATGTTAAAACAGTTCAGACATGATAAAAACATGTCTTAGAAGTTAAACTGTAGTCGTCCATGCCTATGTTTCAATGTCTGCCTGAGTGAGGGGAGAAAGGTTCTGGGTCCTGCACTGACCTGACTGTTGTCTTGCTGCAGGATCATGTGTTCTTGTGCGAAGGAGAAGACCCAAAGTCAGACCATAAAGGTGAGCTAGTTTCCTCTCTCCATCTGTTGCATGCCTCACAGAACTAGAAGAGTAGGTCCCATGCCCCCAGACCAGGAGTGTACTATGAGAGGAGTAAGCCTTTGAAGAAGGCAGGGAGACCTCTTTGTCACCACTTATCAGCCTGGACCTGTAAGATGTCTTTTTCTAGAATGTCATCAATGTCCTGAAGGACATGGAACTAAAATCCCAAGTGAACTCATGATGCAGGCTGGAGCTGTCAGAATTAAGAGGCTGGGTATGAGGCCTGTGTGTGCACTATGGTTTCCAGGTTGATTGGGTATGGGTTTCTGCCTTGGGGCTGCTGTTCCCTTCAGCGGATGAACAGGAACCTGAGAGTGTACCCATCCTTCAGAAAATCTAGAGCACTGGTGACCAGAAGCCTCACCTGGGCTTGTCAGACCCCCAGCTGGGCATACTCACTCCTTTTTAATTTCTTTCTATGCTTGATGCAGGAGAGACTGGAGTGTAACATACAAAATAAAGAAATAATTAACTTTTTTAGGAAGATACCAAGGAGTGTTTATAGTCATCAACCCCAGTTTTATGGTCACTCTGAGAACTGCATCTCCTTTAGCTGAGCAGTCTTGGTGCAAGAGTCCATGCCTGGCCTCACCTTCCCCTTCCCCATCCTGTCATGGATTTTTTGTGAGCTGCTCTATGATGTTGACTGCTCCTCAGGGCAGCTTGCCTGTCAGGCAGTGGCTGCCTCTAACGGCAACTGTGCTGACTCTGTCCCACAGCTGCAGGAAGCACCTCTAGTCGAGAAGAGTCGGGAGAAAAGGGCAGCTCCAGAGGAGCAGACCACGCCAAGGCGCCTGAGCCTACGCCCCCAGCTGACAGCCACGAGCCCAGGCTGGGGCCGAGGCCTCGCTCTCACAACAAGGTCCTGAACCCACCGGGAGGCAAATCCAGCATCTCCTTCTACTAAGAGGCTACTTACAGCTCTGCCTGTAGCCAGACCAGAAATTCAAGATACAGAGTATTAAAAATTTATTGTTTTCTTTAGCCCAAACAAAAGGGGGTGGGAGAGGGTTGCCCTGTGTGTGAAGCTGGCTGCTTAGAGGACCGGGGCCTTTCAGACTGCAAGCTACATGTCTGGGGATGAGGGTAGAGGGCTCCCCTGGTGTCTGCTCATTTGTTCTGATGGAGCAGGATTTCTGAGGTGGGCAAGGGCAGGGAGCTGGTGCTGAGTGGCTGGTGGGCTCTTCCGTGAGCTATCTCCTGCTGACTAGGCATCCAGGAACAGCTGAAGAAAGCCCAGTCTGTCTTGCTGTAGGATGGAGAGGAAGCAAAAGCAGAGACATCAGGAAGGCAGTGGGAGTCCACATAAAGCATCCCCTTTGGCCCCAGGACCAGTTACCCATCACAAGGATAGCTTCCACTCCCAAGAGACCACCAAGCCCATCATCTCCTCTTTTTACCCCCAGTGTGTCGTCCTTCTCTCTTGAAGCACCATGACTGCTTTTCCTCAGCAGCAGTCAACAGAACCAAACAGTTGACCTCAGTCTGTTGCTCTGAAAGTTTTTCTACCCTGGTCCTCTGAATTGCCCAGTTCCTGCATCTCAAACCATGACCACATCTCACATAAGAATCTTCCTTCCTCTCTCAGGGACTGGCCTTGGTCCTTGATGTGCTGGATTTACTTGTAGATTGTTCCTCTGTTTCCTCTCATCAGCCTTAAGTATGGGCCTTCACTGATAGTGTGAAGCTCACTTCCAAAGCTGCACTCTGCCCTCTGCAGGTCTTTAAACCTCTTCACATACACCTGAGTACAGGGTTTTTTCAGATCCTTCCTATGTCTTTGTTCCTATAGTTGGTGGGAATGCATGAGAACCTTGGGTTCTTAGGTTGGTTTCTTCAGTAATATCTAAAAGGCTGTCTTCAAGTACCAGCTTCACATAAATGCCTGTGGATTTGGTTTCTGACATCTTCCAGAAAGCAGTCCACTGCTTCAGCCACCTTTTTGAAACTGCAGAACCTCTGGACCCTACTATAAACAATAGGCCAGAGCATTAAGTAGTTAATGCATTAAGCAGAGTCTCAGCTCTCACGCCAACAGATGTTTTGCTGGCATGAGTCATGTTGCTTCATTTGTCAGGCAGAGGTCCCTCCCTGTCCACTGCAGCCTCAGTTCCCTGCTTCCTTGTGGTGGGCATATTAACAGGAGAGGGCCTTGGTGGCGTGGCTATTGCTTTAAGTGCCTACAGGGCTCGAATCAGGTGCTAGGAACATCCTCAGTGTCCTTTAGCTTTGGACAAATGGCAGGTCTTGTGTGGTCTAACACTACCTGCAGGAGCTAATCAATCCCCAGGCTCTGGCTCCTGGCACATGGAGGGGTCTGCATATGACTTGTCAGCCAAAGAATCTTAACCCCTTCAGTTGCCCTATACACCATGGAGCCAAAACATTCCATGTGAGTCCTGAGAACTTGGACAGGTTTCTGTTCAAAGTCATTTATAACATTGTTTGGAATTTTGGGGCAGGGCAAGTTCCCACTGAAATAATATAAATGTTGCTTAGCTTTTTAAGCCAAAACCCACTAACTTGTTTGACTTACAAGGAACTAGTATTAATGATAGATATGAACCACTATTTGTAATGATGTTTTCTTAGAGAAAATAAATTGTGAATTCTAAATCAAATTGCCAAGAAAAATATCTGACATTACTGTGCTGGTTCCTGCTTTTGTGCCAATGAGAAGGAAACTCTGTTCTGAGTCCGTGTCCTGAGCAGTGTGCTCACTTCGGGAGCAGAAAAGGCACTTCCCAGGTGAGCCCAGCATTGTGGGTATGGTGCGCACCCACATTAGGAAGATGCTGTCTGTATGTGGACACATCCTGTCCTCAACCTCCAAGCTGCATTAAGAAATTACTAGTCTGTATTTTTATTAAGCCTTAATTTTTTTTAATAACATTTGGTGCCAACATGTTTCTAGAGCTGTATCAAAACAAGAAACTTGTCCTCACATCACAATGCAATTTTGATAGGAACATTTTGTTATTTTTAGAAGGCAAAATTAGGAATAATGGTTGAATTAAACTTTGTAACCATGTAATTAAAGTCTTTGCCTGTTTTTTGTGTGTGTTCTTTCCCATCCATCCATTCTGCAAACAAAATGCCGTAAATTGGCTCCTTTCCCCACAATTCCTTTCTGGTAAGTTTGTCTCTTCCTGCCATTTAATCTGGAGGATACCCAAATCGATCTTAAAGCTTTGAGCAGGCTATGCACAGTGGCTATTGCCTGTGATGCCAGTGACTTGGGAGGCTGAGACAGGACAATTGTAGGTTCCAAGCCAGCCTCAGCAACTTAGCAAGACCCTGTCTCAAAAAGAGCTAGGGATATGGCTCAGTGGTATAGCACCCCTGGGTTCAACCCCAATGGGATACGCACACACAAAAAGCTTTGAGTGGGGAATTTGCCCTAAGTTAAGCACATTGATTATTTTCTCTTGCTACTAGTTATCCTTAAAGTCTCTAATGTACCTCTAGCTTGGCTTTGAAATCCCCCATGACTAGCCCTGTAATGAACAGGTGAGATGCTGAGCTGAGTGTCAGATTCAGTGCAGAAGAGCAGATCAAATGTCTTTCTTCTGTTGGGTTAGCTATTTTCTTATGTCCCCAAGCAAACTTAATATCTTCATGTGTGCTATGTGGATTCAGGGAAATGAAACAGACTGCCTGTGATGAGAGCCCCCTCTAGGAGATGCCATGCCATTCTGCCAGCTGGCTCAGGGCTTCAAATGAAAACCAAGTCCTCAGAAAGCTAGCATGGTTATCTGGAACACTATCTTCACTTGTTCATACATGTGATGGGATGTGTAGAGCAAGTTTCAAGAACTGGGTTAGGCATTGACATTAAATTACCTATTAATAGCAGCTGATCAAGCTGGGATTGTGGCTCAGGGGTAGAATGCTCACCTCTCACTTGCAAGGCCCTGGGTTTGATCCTCAGCACCACATAAAAATAGATTTATAAAGGTATTGTATTCAACTACAAAAAAATAATAAATATTTTTTTAAAAATAGCAGCTGCTCAAGCTAAGGGCAGTCACTGAAATCTGAGTCGTTCAAGTCCCCAGAGGCCAGACAGCGGACACTGGTAGCTCTACCAGTGTTCAGGTGAAAGCCAGAAAAATAAACATCAGAGCTGGTATTTTGAAGTCTTGTTCCTCCCTCAGAAATGTGCCAGTACTGGGACAGTATCACCTGCTGTGTTATCTGGGAGATCCTTCAGGGAGTCAAACCTTGCAAGCAGGTACATTTGAACCTAGGGGCGCATTACCACTGAGCCACATCCCCAGCCCTTATTTTTACTTTAAGATGGTTTTGCCATCCTGCCTCAACCTCCAGAGTTGCCAGGGTTAGGTTAAATCCCCCCACCCCCAGACGGCTCCTGCCTCAGCTTTCAGAGGAGCTGGGATACAGGCATGGGCCACTGAGCCTGGCTGAATTCCTTAATCCTTAGCATTCTTGGGGATTGTTAGTGAAACATTCCTTAGAAATCAGAACTTTTGAAAGGAATGAGCTCACCTTACATTTTATGGTCTTTTAATGAGCAAATCCGAAGTTCTAATCAGTTGACTTCAACTTAATATTGTATATTCTGTAAGCGCCGGGAATTACCCAGCATGCCAGCTTGTTAAAATTTCGTGGTTTCAATCAATTTCAGGTAACCAATTTCTGAAGGTGGTGTTCATAATAAAAATAATAGTGATGTCCACGCCGGCTGGCCGGGTCATGGCGGCTGCCCTGCTGGGGAGTTCTCGGAATTCTCGAGGTTCGAGCCTCCGGAACACAAGCCTGCTCCGCTATCGCTCTGCCGTGACCGGCACTCGCGGGTGGCGCCGCGGAACCCGAACCGCCTGTGCAGGCGGGCCGCCAATTCCTGGTGTCGCGAGGCGTCCAGGCAAACGTCCAGCCGGGGCGAAAACACGGCCCGCAGCAGCTGGCCCTACCGCGCCGCTGGGACACAGCGTGGGAAGACCCCCGAGCCACAGACGCGGCCGGAAGCGCCGCTTCCCTGACGCCGCGGCGCGGCCCCACCCTGCGGTGGGCGGGACTTCCGGCGGGCGAGTGACGGGCGCGGCTTGGGCAGCGGCCTGAGGCGACAGCGGCCGGTAGGGGCGACGCCGCGGCCCGCGGACCCGGCAGCCGGAGCGCCGCGCTGGCGGCGGCCGCCGCGATGATGGAGATCCAGATGGACGAGGGCGGCGGCGTGGTGGTGTACCAGGACGACTACTGCTCGGGCTCGGTGATGTCGGAGCGCGTGTCGGGCCTGGCGGGCTCCATCTACCGCGAGTTCGAGCGCCTCATCCACTGCTACGACGAGGAGGTAGTCAAGGAGCTCATGCCGCTGGTGGTGAACGTGCTGGAGAATCTGGACTCGGTGCTGAGCGAGAACCAGGAGCACGAGGTGGAGCTGGAGCTGCTGCGCGAGGACAACGAGCAGCTGCTCACGCAGTACGAGCGCGAGAAGGCGCTGCGCAAGCAGGCGGAGGAGGTGCGTGGGCGCGGGCGGCGGGCGGCGGGCGGCCGGCGGCCGGCCGGCGGCCGGCGGCCGAGCCCGCGGCTGGCCACGGCTGGCTTTGAGCAGGGCTCTGGGCCGCACGTTCCTAGATTGGGATGCTCGGGCCTCACCACTGCGGCTTCAGACTCCCCACACAGGGGATTCAGGAGCCCCTAGGATGTGAGAGCCCAAAGTGACCCGGGCCGCTTTACTAGGGAGGGAACTGGCCCTGAGAAGTGGAGGGGCCCGACCAAGGTCACACACTCCAGAAACACCGGGCCAGGATGCGGAGTGGACCCAGACGCACGGCCTGCTCTCTTCTGGGTCACTCCTCCCCACATACCCAGCGGTGAAGCTGTGGCTTCCTCCCCCTGTGCTGGGCACCGCCCTCCACTGCTCTGACCACTCAGGGCCTTTTGATGCCTGACGGAGGTTTGGTTGGCTTTCTTTTTTATTCCCAGCCTGTGTAGTCAAAATAGTGATGAGGAGGAAGTAAAAGAAGAAAACCAAGCTGGACAACCTTAAGGCCGAGTTGTAGCTGTGTACCTAAAAATGTACACTACCTGGCTTAGGTACCCTGCTTTGTTCACTGCCAAGGCAACCTCCAGGGAGGTGCCTCTTCCTTCCCACTTACACTCAGGCTGGACCATTGCTTTTAAGTATTGTGCCTGCGCCTTGCAGAGAGATTGCTGAAATGCCCTTACCCTATTGCTCCAGCTATTTAGACAGGCTGCACAGAGAGCTGTGAGCTGAGCAGTAAGCAAATACCCTGGGCTGGACTGGCCAGGTGGAGGTGGCAGTCAGATGCTAATATTATGCCCTTAGGAAGAGTCAGGTACTGTTACAATTGAAGAAAAGGGTTCAACCCTGTAAACTTGATGTTCTGGCTCCTTTATGGAATCAAGCAGACATTCACTTTCAGTCTTGTGGAAAAGACCACTGCTCTTTGCCGGCTTATTTTTCTAGTCAGGGACTCCTGATCATGGATGTGTGCAATAGCCCAGGATCTGGACGTCATGGGCTGCAGGCATGCCATGGTRCAGAAGAGCTGGGATGAGCTGTCAGAGGATGCTGCCCTAGCCACTCTGCTCAATTAGGCTTAGTCAGAGATGGTAACCTGAGCCAGCTGCAGCCTTCTGAGAAGACAGAGTCTGCAGGGTTTTTGAGGAAAACCTTGAGCAGAGTAAACATCCCTGTCTTCTACTCACCCTGTGATAACCATAAGGAGATTCTTGGTTCTGATACTGAGTGGCCAGTTCTCTGGAATTGAGGTCTAGGGTGAAGGGCCCAAGCCGTGGAGTCTGCAGATACCATCTTGGGCACCAGCCTTGTCCTTTTGAGCGGCCTATCCGCCAGGTCTCTCCTCCTCTGGGCCACAGTGACCTCTTCTCTAAGTGGATTGTTTGTCAGCCTTGGCATGTCAGTTTCGTCTCAGATGTTGGGCACCACTATTGGTTCTAAGTGGCCTGAAGAATCATGGTGAGGGTTTGAGACATCAGGCAGGACCCCTGGTGGGGTCTCGGACAGCAAGCCCTGGGTGTTGCCAGCTGTTCAGATTTTAGCACAGGTTCTCAAAAGGGTTGGAAAGGGGCAGCTGGCTGTGTGTGCCAGGCCTGAAAGGACAGAGGCTGGAGTTTGCCCAGGTGGCAGAGTTCTTCTTGCAGCAATTAAGCACCTAGCTTATGAGAGGAAAAATAAGGCTTCAGAGGTGAGTTTTAGTCATCGCTTGCTTTAAAATCTCTTTAACCTTAGAAAAGCTGCTAGTAGCATCCCTCACATCTCAAGTAATGCAGATGGGTACTCTTCCCACAGGAGGTGTCTGTGGACATTTGCTGATGATGGACATTTGATGCCGTGTAAGAAAAGCATCCAAGTGGAGGAGAGTTTGATCCAAGACTTCTTTTTTCCTAGTCAGACAAAAATAATCCATTTCATAGAAGAGAATTTGGGTAGGATCAAACTGGGAAGTGGGGCAGCTGGGATTGTGGCTCAGTGGTAGGGCAATTGCCTAGCACATGTGAATCATTGGATTTGATCCTTAGCACCACATAAATAAATAAATAAAGGTATTGTGTTCATCTACAACTTAAAAATAAGAACTGGAAATGGGGTGAAAAATCAACATAATCCCATCCT